ATTCCATGTGAATTTATGGTGCCAAAAGTTGTAGTTGGCTGCTTATGCTTGCTCTGCTGTATCCACCCAGATGCAACTAGCCTAGTGTTAGATTTCTCCTTGCATTCAGGCTGCTTAGCATCACATGACAGAGACACAGTTGGTAACATTATACCCTTCAAGCTGTCAGCAATCCTCACACATGGAAGCTGCCAAAGTATTGCTTTATCTGGCCTGTGGTATCTGAGTCTAGGGGCAAGCCCAGGGATGTTGTTTTGTCAAAATAAGGAAGGAAAATAGAGAGTTAGCTTCTGTAATTTTATCCTCAAAACATTTAGTTAACTGTGGCTTCTCAGTCAGTCTGAACTGGGGGTTGTGGTTCATGCTAGCAATTTGTTGTTTTATATGCCTGTTGTCTTTGTCCATGGAGTTTTCTTGGCAAGGATACTGGAGTGGCTTGCCGGTTCCTCCTCCAGGTGGATCACGTTTGGTCAAAACTCTCCACTATGACCTGTTCACCTTGTGTGCCCTGCTCGGCGTAGTTCATAGCTTCTCTGAGTTCTTCAAGCCCAATAGTCACCTTCAAAATAAGCCAACTCCAAACCATGGGTTATACTGCTGGCTTGTTTCAACTAAGCAGTAAAAGGTAAAGGTACCCCTGCCCGTCCGGGCCAGTCTTGACAGACTCTAGGGTTGTGCGCCCATCTCACTCTAGAGGCCGGGGGCCAGCGCTGTCCGGAGACACTTCTGGGTCACGTGGCCAGCGTGACATTGCTGCTCTGGCGAGCCAGAGCCGCACACGGAAACGCCGTTTACCTTCCCGCTAGTAAGCGGTCCCTGTTTATCTACTTGCACCCGGGGGTGCTTTCGAACTGCTAGGTTGGCAGGTGCTGGGACCGAACAACGGGAGCGCACCCCGCCGCGGGGATTCGAACCGCCGACCTTTCGATCGGCAAGCCCTAGGTGCTGAGGCTTTTACCCACAGCGCCACCCGCGTCCCTTCAACTAAGCAGAGTTAGTGCTAAATTATGACTTCTGGTTCAGTTAGTGAAAGTGGACATAAAACCTTCTGGAGTTGTTTTCCTAGTCATGCAGGGTGTGGAAGGAGCACACGAGCCCAAGTTTTGCTGCCGCTTGTGTACATCCATGTGTCGCTCCTGCCAACTTAGCAGTTCGAAAGTACACCAGTGCAAGTAGACAAATAGGTACCGCTGTAGTGGGAAGGTAAATGGCATTTCCATGCACTCTGGCACTCGTCACGGTCCTCTGTGTGCCAGTAGCGGTTTAATCATGCTTTCCACATGACCCGGAAAGCTGTCTGTGGACAAACACCAGCTCCCTTGACCTGAAGCAAGATGAGCGTCACACCCCATAGTCGCCTTTGACTGGATTTAATTGTCCAGGGGTCCTTTGCATTTGCCTTACATCCATGTGTGAATGTGCTTGGGCCTTAATGACTAGAAACTAGAGCAAAGATGAAAAGCCTGTGCAGTTTTTGTGTGTGTTTGTGCTGGAGAGAGCTAGGGCAACAACCTGTCTTCTGTGTCCCATTCTAAAAGCCCAGATCCCAATCTCCTAATGCCTGGGTGAGTCTGAAACAGTAGCAAGGATATTTCTCTCTTTGTCAGATTGCAAATAGACCTTGTATGTCTTTTGCAGGACATGCCTAATACTTGATTTGATTTCAGTATTGTGGCACAAGCCTTGGCTAAACCCGTGGATATGATTGAGGTGCACATTTGGATTCCAGCTGCTATATATTATCCTTAGGAGGTTACCTGCTTTTATGTGATATTAGGACACTGCAGTCAGTGCATTGTAAAAGTCCTTAGAGTGCTAATGTACGGAGTGGTTTCTTGTAATGATCAGTAATTTGCCTGAAAACTGTTCGAATCTGTGCTTGAGTAGCTTTCCAATTTTCTTCTATAAAGTTTTATAGCACTAGGAGTACGTGGTTAGAAGGAGGAAAGAAAGATTATCTTTTATCAAGTTGGAAGGATGTCATTGTGACCATGTCAGGCCTTTGGTAATAAAATATGGCTGCACTTTTCGTAGAATATTGCCCTCCCCCCGGCAACTTCTATTTGTTTGCTTTACAAGTCTTGCTGAATGTAATATTCAGTAAGATCATAATGTGTGTGTTGCATGCAAGGCAATAACAAACCACATCCTTTCGAGTTTGTTGGACTGTTTCATGATGGCAAATGTTGAGGATTGGGGACATGAACTTTGCAGGGGTTGCCAATGGGCACATTTGCATATCAGAGAAACTGTTGTTGGTAATACATATACACCACAATAGCATGCTTCTTTCAAGTCTTAATTCCAACAAGTGGAGGTGACCCTGTGGGTGCCAGGAAAGGCCTTGTGGGTGTGTAGACACTCATGGGCACTGTGTTGGTGACCCCTGATATACAGCTACAGAGTCTGGGACTGATGGTCATGTGTACTGCAGAAAGCAGTAGGAGGCCATGAGCCTTGGTTTATTAGGATTGTGCTGTGTTTTATCATATCAGAAGATTAAGCTGTACCTCATATCACATCAAAAGGGAGAGTTGTGGAAAGTTATGCTTTAGGCAGAGTGGTTTTCCATATCCAAAAATGTTTATTGACATGGAGAGACTAGAAGTTGAATTAATGACATGGAGTTGAATTAATGACATGGGGAGACTAGAAGTTGCTTGCAAAGCAGATTAAACAGCCATAACAGTTTCTGCACTTTCTAAAGATGCTGCAAAATGTAAAATGTAAAAAATGTTTCCCTTTCTGAGGACCATAGGAAGCTGCCACATCCTAGATCAAACCATTGGTTCATCTAGCAACTCTTCAGGTTTTAAAATTGAGAATGCTTCTCCTCTTTGCTTCTTGAATGGAAGCAAATGGAATGCATATCCTCATTTTTTAAATGGTTTCATTGGCTCCTTGTCTACTTCCGAGCACAATTCAAGGGGCTGCCATTAATCTTTTAAAGCCCTAAATAACTTAGGATTCAAATATATCAAGGACCGGCTTCTCTCATATAAGCCTGCCTATGCATTTAGATCCATTTCCAAAGCGCTATTAAGGTAAGACGGGGAATATGCAGGAGATATGATTTTGAGGAGATATGGAAGGTATTTGTAGAATTTGTCCTGTTAAAACAGAAAGGGGTCAAACCATCACAAGAGGTGTTGAAATTTTGGGAGGTTGGATAGTTAGAATGGAATGGTGCAATACAATACAAATGGAATGCACATTTTTACTTATTTATTATTATTACTTTGTCAAAAAAGGAAAAAAAGGAAAGATCCATTTCCAGAGCTATTCTTGGAGTCCCTTCCCTCCTCCATTGGGTGAATGATAGGTGGGGGGCGGGGGGGACTAGGCAATAGGGCATTTTGGGTTCTATGTTTGTAGTTTTGTGGTTGTGAGCATGTCTGTCCACACACATATAGGGCAGTTCCCAGAGTGGTTTGGGATGAAGCTTTGGGGGGTGCTGTGTTGGCCACACCATTTGAGGACCACCTGCGCTCCTTTGGATCAAGGCCATGGATAGCTTTTGCTAGAGCAGAATACAGTGGTACCGCGGGTTAAGTACTTAATTCGTTTCGGAGGTCCGTTCTTAACCTGAAACTGTTCTTAATCTGAAGCACCAGCTTAGCTAATGGGGCCTCCCGCTGCTGCCGCGCCGCCAGAGCACAATTTCTGTTCTCATCCTGAACAAAGTTCTTAACCCGAGGTACTCTTTCTGGGTTAGCGGAGTCTGTAACCTGAAGCGTCTGTAACCTGAATAGTATGTAACCCGAGGTACCACTGTAGTGAAGAGGCTGGGCATAGCAGAAAGCAATCTGAACAAGCTGTCTGTGCTTCAGGCGGGAGAGCCTGTGCCTGTCGGAGAACATTCTTTTCCAAAACTTGAAACGGAACCCATGACTTCTCCATTTGCAGCTCTGCTGCTGGTAGCAAATAGCATTTAATAATACCCACTTGGAGAGCCCTGTCTCTCATCGCCTTCAGCAGCTGAGCCACACAGAATGTCACAATCTCCTGCTCTATTGGTATATCCCCAACTGTGACCCACCAGAAATCAATCCATTGTTGCGTTAGCAGAAGCCAGCACAAAGACCCTAGCTAGCACAATGGGGTTTTCTCCTCCCTCCCCTGCATGCTCCCTGTGGCTCTCCCAGATCCACTCTGGAGGGCCAGCAGAACCCCGAGGACAGTGTATTTTCCCTATGCATTTTTTCCTGTGTTATATTTTCCCTAATCTAATACATTTTTCTATGTTGTTTTCACAAATGCATGCATTTTATGCAAACCTTAGCCATGTGTATGCATTTTTGTACACGTAACTTGGCTGGAGAACATGATTTCAAAATGTAGAGAAGCATGAATTTCAGAAGATGGCTATATTTTAGTTCACCTGTTGTGTTGGAAAGTGTTGACTAGATAGGTTTACCTTTTAACGATAACTGAATCAAATGCTAAGTGGGCTTTTAAATAGAGAAGGACAAGAGGATGATGATAACGTTGATGATAAAATAATTTCTTTGTGCACAATTTCTGCCTATTGCTTTCTGGGCTCCATTCAAGGTGCTGGTTCACCGAACCCTAAGAGACTTGGAGTCATTCTATCTCAGTAATGGCTTCCATCCCTGTGTTTCATCATAACCTTTAAGATCAGCTGGAAACACCTCTTAACCTTGCCATTTATGCACCACCAGGACCACAAATACTTTTTGGTTGCTGCCTCTCGACTCGAGAATTGTCTTCCACGGAGGCCGAAGCCTAGGGGTCTTTTGGAAGCAGTGTAAGACCTTTTAATTGGCTTTTGGTGCCAGGGATAGGGTTGGGGGCAGGGAAAGATGGTGGTTAATTATTTTGTAATTGGGAGCTTTGCAGCTAAAATATTGTTACCTGCCCTAAGCACTTGGGATGGAGCCAGCTGGAAATCAAATGACACAAATTAAGAATGTAGGTAAGTTAACACAAAATGGTGCAAGGTCTGAATGTTGTGTGCTTTTCTCTTATGTCCCCTCCAGATCGATAAATATCTGTACGCCATGCGGCTCTCTGATGAAACTCTGCTGGATATTATGGGACGCTTCAGGAGAGAGATGCGGAATGGACTTTCCAGGGACTTTAACCCAACAGCCTCTGTAAAGATGCTTCCTACATTTGTAAGGTCTATTCCTGATGGCTCAGGTAAGGATTATGTGCTGTTGTACTTCGTTAACAAACAGTTTTCTGAAACAAAACCAGAACAATCTCTTGTTACTATTATGAGCACAATGAGAGCCATTAGCTACACATGTATGCATAAAGTGGTCCAAGTATGTAAAACTAAAAGAAACTCTCAGCAATGTTTGTACCAAAGAGAAACAGTGGTTTTTAAAAAGAAACAAACTTCAGCCTATTTCCCTATGGCCAGTAGCTTTGGCTCCTGTTGTCTTGGGGTCAGGGTGTGTTGCTTGTACAAACTTAAGAAGAAGACAGTGTGTTTGAAACCCAAATCAAACAACAAGTTGCAGTCTGTGCTCAATACCTAGACACAGTGGCTGCATTCAGATATAACACAGGCCCTTCCTTCTTTGGTGCTGCCCTGAGGAGGTAAGAAGCTTCTGCTTCTGCCTTTGACTAAACACAGTTTAGTTAGCTATCCAAACCCTAAACTGTGGTTAATCTTAAATTCAGTTTCTGAAAAGCGTAGAACAAAGAATCCCTGTATGCCCCCAGCTGCCAAAACATTCCATACATATGCGGTATAAAGTATTCAGTCAAATATTAAGCAGGTTTGCATAATAGTGTAAAACTGATTATACAAGTTACAGTTTTTAAGTGTCTTGTTGACTTGGATGTGAGTGTGCAGACAGGGTGTTAATTTGCAACATATCCCAGAGTGGATGTTTCTGAAGTGCTGCATTTGTCTGAAGTGTATTCCATCGTTCAATTACTTTAGGGGGAAAAGGCCATCTGTTCTAGTGTGTGTTTTTCCTTTTTCCTTTTTTTTTTTTAAAGCTAATGGGGCTCAGTCTAAACTAGTGATGGACTACAGTGATAAAAGTCTGTTTGCACATTTTGCTTAATGCCCAGTACTTGTACAGAACAGTGATATTTAATTGGTTTTATCGACAGAATGGTTTTAAAATTACATTAGCTTCAAAATGATGCTGGTCCTGGATATTATGTTGCCCTAAGTCACTGAGATTATATATATATTTAATGAAAAATGGAGTGCAGAGCTGCTTGCTAAATAAATAAAATTATAATACACAATTTGGAGAGCTTTGCTGCAAACAGAGCATTGTAGATGCTGGTAATGATGCACAATGGAGCATAATCAAAGAGCCATGGCGGTGCAAGGGATTCTGGGATGCAGCTCCCAGATCTCATGCTTCTTCATTGGCAGCCCTGAAAGTATTGCCTCTTGGATGCTTGTGTAGTTTGCTCCGCTATTTAGAAATGTGTTTTCCCAAACTGACAGATTTGGGTCTCCCTTTTTTGGTGGCAAACAAGACGAGTCAATTTGTATACCTGATACGATTTGCATAACTTTGGGCAAAAACACTGCTGTAACATCAGCTTGCAAGAGACTCAGAGTTGCCCTAAGAATAGCAAACTGATTTACCTCCTGGCCTAATTTCAATTCTTCATTGATTTCTTACCCACGAGTGGACAGGCCCAAAGAGAGGCAGGTGAGAGTAAGGAATTTGTTGCCATTTTTGCTGAGATGAGAACATTGTTGGAAGAAAACCTTCTTTGGAAAGAGTAATAGAACACCTAAAAAGGGAAAATCCATGCTTGAGATTTTATGTGGGTGTGATGTTAGTGCTGAAGACAGAAACAAGGCTGCTTTAGTGGGAAGTTACAGCTGTGTTGCAAGATTGTTGGATGGGTATGATGTTCAAGGCTTATTTGTATGGGCGAAATTGATTGTGTCCAGGTGGCCAATAATGCGTTGGTGGTGATAAAGTAAGAATGATGTATTTAATGAGTCTCAAACTGAAAGTGAATGGTAAGCCAGCCAGTGTCATAAATGATCCAACATTGTATTTTGCTTATTACCCTTCCTGCTTTTTGCCACTTTTAAAGCTCAATGAAAATTCAGAAATCAATGAAGAATTGAAATTAGGCCAGGAAGTAAATCAGTTTGCTATTCTGAGGGCAACTCTGAGTCTCTTGTAGGCTTATGCAGAGCCTGTTTTGAGGGTTTGAACATCCTTTTAAAATAGAGTAGAGGGAGTGTGTGAGTGTGTGTATTTGCATCTGCATCCATGCACCTGAACTTCAGTGTTTGCTTGTGCTCTGTTTACACACACTGAGTTTTTCTTTAATCTCATTCCATGGGTTGTTTTAATCGGTAATCTTAGTCTCCAAACAAATAAAGGATTGTGGTCTTTGCTTGTCTGATTAGATAGGATGAGGCTAATCACTTGGGTTGATCAGATATATTTGCAGTGTTAAAGGTGAATGCTGATAGTTTAACTTTCAGTACCCAATGCATTATTTTATGTAATAGATGGCAAAGATTCATTGTGCACCCAGAGTGACTTGATGCTTAGGTGTTGATGTTCTGTTTCATCCAAAACAGAGAAAGGAGATTTCATTGCCCTGGATCTTGGTGGATCTTACTTTCGTATTTTGCGAGTGAAAGTGTCTCATGAGAAAAAGCAGACGGTGCAAATGGAAACAGAGATTTATAACACTCCCGAGGATATTATGCATGGCAGTGGAACACGGGTAAGATTGCTTCCTGGGAATGTTCTTGCAATATATGAGGGTTGTAAAACATTTTTTGAAAAAGCTTCCACATGGTATTGTTTGGATTTTCTGATACAGTTTTGAAGGATAAAATAAAAACTACTACGTTGTAATTTTAATTTTTAAAGGAAGTAAAAGACTTACCTTCAAAATCATTTGGTGGAAAGTTAGGATGCATATTTTGAGGCCAACTTCTCTGTTGAGAATAATGCAGAATGCTAGGTTTTTTAATATTAGGAAATTGGATTCTTGTGATAATTTCTTCTAGTTTATTCATTGCAAACCAATGTTTCCTATGCAATGATGACTTGTTGAATTGGAAGGCAGGGACGCGGGTGGCGCTGTGGGTAAAAGCCTCAGCGCCTAGGGCTTGCCAATCGAAAGGTCGGCGGTTCGAATCCCCGCGGCGGGGTGCGCTCCTGTTGTTCGGTCCCAGCGCCTGCCAACCTAGCAGTTTGAAAGCACCCCCGGGTGCAAGTAGATAAATAGGGACTGCTTACTAGCGGGAAGGTAAACGGCGTTTCCGTGTGCGGCTCTGGCTCGCCAGATGCAGCTTGTCACGCTGGCCACGTGACCCGGAAGTGTCTCCGGACAGCGCTGGCCCCCGGCCTCTTGAGTGAGATGGGCGCACAACCCCAGAGTCTGTCAAGACTGGCCCGTACGGGCAGGGGTACCTTTACCTTTACCTTAGAATCCTGATCCATAGGCATGAAAATGATGACCCAGTTGTGAGCTAAAACATGTATTGCTGTTTTTTTGGTTTATTTGTACACTTATTATACCCATCTAACTTTGTGACCCAAGATTCATAATACATCAGTTCAGCTACAATCACAAACACCTTGCTGTTATCTTTCTTTCTCTTGCCCTTGCGTATGCAAATTTGTCCAAGTACACATTTTGCAACCAGCAACTCAGGCTGTAGAAGCTACATGGATGGTTGGTGAGACCAAGAAAGGCTGGAGGAGTTTCTCCTATTTCCCCCAGCAAAAGCTCCTGTGTAAGTTACAGGTATTGGAATCTGCTGTCACCAATGCTGCCATTTTTTTAAAAGCCTACCTTACCCAATCCATTGTCATTTCTTTATCTTGCTTCCCCTAGGACAGGAGTCTGCAACCCGCGGCTCCGGAGCCGCATGTGGCTCTTTTACACCTTTGCCGCGGCTCCAGGGCAGATACTAGCAAGGGGAGGAGGCGCATTGTGCGCCCTGACACTCCCCACTGTGGTGGGCGCTGTACTGGCTGTGACTGTCGCATGGGGGCGGTGCATACGTTAGTCACGCACCGTTCCGACGTCACCTTCCCACAGTGTTATATTTGTTTTAAATGTCGCAATGGTTTTGCGGCTCCCAGTTGTTTTTTTCTTCGGAAACGGGTCCAAGTGGCTCTTTTTGTCTTAAAGGTTGCAGACCCCTGCCCTAGGATGAGCCTTAATGCCTGGTTTCCTGTATGCTGGCAGCATGGCCGTTAAGCCTGAATGTCAGTAATTTGGCCGGTTAGGCAGAGGCACTCTGGGCATCTTCTTGCTGTTGCAGAAATTCCCACTTTGAGCCAGTAGATTCCAGGCTCGCCTGTGCTCTTCTTGCTATTTGGCTCTTGAAAACATCTGTGCAGTCACTTTAGCATGTGAAAGTGGCTCTCCTAAATGTCCCAAATGGTCTTGTTGGTCATTACTGAATGAGAGAGGTCAGCATCAGTCATACAGTAGTCGGAGAACCAAATTTCTTCTGTTTTATGTTTTGGGGAAAGTCTGTTGCGTTCCTGCGGCCGACACCTTATTCTGCCTGTGGTTCAATAACGATGACAGTGCAAATACTCTTTCATAGTTATTTAAAATGTATTTGTATGTTTTTCAGGATCCTTCCAATATCCCAGCTCCATGACATTTCAGTTTCTTAGGCACTAGAATTGATTTTATTAAATGAACCAGTGTCAAAATGCTAAGGTGTCTGGGATGCTGGCAAACCTTACATAATTTTGTCAGGTCTTTGGATTTCTGATGGCATATTAAGTAACTTGTTATTGGACTCCAGCTCCCATGAGCCCCAGCCAGTATAGCAAATGGCTAGGGATGCTGGGAGTTGTAGTCCAGCAAAATATCTGAAGAGCTTAGGAACTTCCTCTGGCTTAAAAAGATGGTACAAGCTGCTGTTTCCACCGCAACAAGTACAATAGAGGGTAGAGGTTGGGCCCTAAAGCTGCAGTGCTCTTGTCACTATTTACTGGCAGCTTGGTGATTTGAGCCCCACGCCTCTTCCTAGAAGGGATCCCGAGGGTCATCTGGTCCACCCCCCGCAATGCAGGAAGGGATGCATTGGCCTGTTCAGTTTTGGAACATGCATGTTGTTGCCAGGCTGTAAAAGTCAAATGGATGCCAACAACAGCTTTAAGGCTCACCAAGCTTTAGGCTTGCCCCCAAAAGATTTTGGAGATAAATGATAGGGCATTTTCTGTGACTTTGCAAGGAAGATAAATGGGGAGGTTATAATGTAAAAGGAAATGGCTTTATGTAAAAAAAAAAAAAAGCATGGAAGATTTTGGGATTTTACTTGATGAAGTAAAGGCTCAGGCATCAGAGGAGCCAATTCTGTTGTTCTGTATCTGGCCGTATTTGTGCTGTGCCACCATTTCCAGCTTCCCCATTGCAGCACTCGTCACACCTGTTCCATGGCATGGAAAGAGCTGCAGCACCGAAACTGTAATTGGAGCTCAAGAGTTCTGCATCCTTTGCCTGCATAGTGCTACGTTAAAAAAATAAAAATAAAAAGCTCTACATAAATTAAATACGAAACCAGTTCCAGGCATATGCTTTTAAAGAATGAGAGAAGACATTTTTCGCTCTGCATGGAATCGGCATTCTGGTTATGATTCATCAACGCATTTAGGAGCTGCCAATTGAAAATGCTTGCTTGGGATAGTTCAGCTGGGGAAGGAGGACTGAGTGGAAGAGGCAAATTGTGACCAGCCCCAAACTGAAAGTTACTTTCCAATGTTGCAAACATTTCGTGCCAGGAAGCAATGGGCTATATTCAGATTTGCCACTCAACTGATGGTAAAATGTCCATCAGTGGAATGGGGAGGGTGATGTTTCTTCACAGTTAGCTGAATGACACCATTGAATACAACTCAGTAGGTCTGTGACACCTGCAGCTCTGTAACTTTTAAAAGCAATTGTTTAAAAGGGGGCAGTTGGGTGTTGGGCTTCTCAGGGCAGGCGGGTGGGGGGGAATCAAGGAGGAAGATTTTTCTAGCATTACAAAATCACCCCAGATTTAAATCAGGAATATTTGATTTAGATCATTATTTTTATTTGTGGTGTATGAGTGTTGTTTAGCCTTGTAAATAATTATACTTGCTCGTAGAGGTTTTTAACCTGCCAAATGGGCATTCCTACTCTAAACCCAGTTGCTAAACTGTGACATGAAATGCATTGGATAATGTCCGTCGAGAGTGCCAGTCTAAACTTTATTACCCAGTGCAGAGGTAATATTTCTAATTTTGCAACTATGGTTAGGAGATCAGAAATGTGCTGCAGGCTCATGTTTCATCCTTGCCTCTCCCTGCATGAGTTCCTCCCTGCCTTCCCTTTTCAGAGTTGACCATGGTTAGTATAATGTGTAGCAAACCATGGTGAATTCAAACCAGATTGTGTTATAACCACAACTGAAGTTAACACTAAGGCCATCAAAAGAGCACTTCTGGATCAGGTCAGTGGCCCATCTTGTCCAGTATCCTGTCCTCACAGTGGCCAACCAGAAGCCTATGGGGAACCCGCAAGAGACTTGAACCCAACCGTGCTCTTCCCACTTGTTTCCCTCCAGTAACTGCCATTGAGAGGAATACTGACTCTGACAGTGGAGGCAGAACATGCACATGGTAGCTATCAGGGTGTTTCACATAGTTAAAATGACAAAGAATTGGGGCAAGAGAGCTTTATGGAACAGGCTATTGGGGTTTTTATTATTATTATGGCATAAGCCATAACTGTCAGGGCGCTGTCGACAGCTTCTGGCTGATTGCCCAGGAAAGCAGAGAGACAGAGGAAAACACAGGCTTTATAGTCCTTTTGATTATGATTCCAGATGCCAAGGCAAGTCAGCCAAGCACCTTTCAGTATCTAACATTGCTCCGAGTGAAGCTCCACGCCTCCCCTCCTCCGTACTTCCCTATTCATCAGACTCTCCCCTCTTCTACGGTGGCTGTTAAGGGTCCCCCACCTTTGAGCCCTTTGCTCTGCTATTCTTAGTGAACACCTGGTTTTAGGGCACAGGACTGGTTCTGGGAGATTCTCCAGTGACAGCATATCAGTCAGCTGCTGCTCGGGCCCTGTCTGCTCAGTACTACTTAGCTCTTCATCTCCCATTATTTCTCAACTTCTTCCCTCTTCTTCCTCTGGGGTGTGCCCTGTGTCAAACCAGTCCTGTAGATCTATGCCATCTGCCCTTTCCTCCTCTGGGATGCTCCTGGGGAGGTGGTCTCCACCACTCCTCTTCACCTGCCCAGTCTCTGACAATAACCTAGCAATGACTAGGAGATCAGGAAGATGTATGCCTTCCTAGCATGACAACATTTTCCGTACCATGGATTTCACTCTGACCTGCTTCTAAGGAGGTGTGTTTACGGTTGCAGTGACAACCAATGAGAGTTGTTCGCAGGGAAGTCTGCTGAGCATTATGGCTTCAGCGGAGGGTTCTGCCCCCATGTATGAAATGCATACCAAAGGACCGGATTCAACAGTGTAGTCCTGCCAGAGGATGCTCACACGAGGTGTTCTGCCAGTGCAGCAGGGCTTCTTTCCGCTCCCCCTGCACACCCTGAAATTGGCCTGGGGAGGTTCAGGAAACCCCCAGAACCTCCCCAAGTGGGAGGAGAGAGCAGATCATTCCTTCAGGCAAGCAAAAATGCTTGCACTGGCTGAGCGATCTGCTTAACACTACGTTGAATTCCACCCCAAAGCCTTACTTTTCAAATGTTCCAGTTTTATAGGGCTGCCACCAAAATAGTATTTATCGGTATGGGATCACCTAATGATTTTTCCAGTAGTGGCTATGGGGATGAAGCTGCAATTATTATTTTTATCAGGCTTTTACAATGTTGTCTTGTTGTCCTTCCTTTCTCCTCAGCTCTTTGACCACGTTGCTGAATGTTTAGGCGATTTCATGGAGAAGCAGGAAATCAAGAACAAGAAGTTGCCTGTTGGGTTCACATTTTCTTTTCCATGTAGGCAAACCAAGTTAGATGAGGTAAGAATGCAGGCAGCATCTGGGTTGCATCTGAAATTGCTTTTAGATATGCAATTGTCTGAATCTGTTTTTATATATGTAACGGTTTTAAATTGCTTTTATACATGCACTTGTTTTATATATATGTTTTTATGGTATTGTGGAATGGCTTTGGGATGCTTCATGGGAAGTGATCCATAAACAGACAAATAACACTGCACAACTTTATTACTGTGCAGAAGAAACATAGGAACCTGCCTTACCCCAAAGCAGACTGCTAGACCATTTAGCTCAGTACTCTGTCTATGCTGACTGGAAGCAGTGCTCCATGATTTCAACTTCCCCAGCCCCATCTGGAGGTGGCAGAGATTGAACCAGGGACTTCTGGCAGGCAGAAAGAACATGTGCTGTGAATCTTCCCCAGCTAGATGGTACTAAAGTGCCCTTTGGCTGATATGACTTGGTTTGAGTGATCTTGCTTGGAATATTGTTCTCGTTGCAATATTGTGTGTGGAAACCGTTGGAAGACACTTGAATTAGAACTTCATCTCTCCCAGCACGTGGCCAGGAAGCATGCAGTGTTTTTGGATTTTGGAAGTGTGGACCTGTTTAATGTTATGAAGAAGACCACTGAGAGCCCCATATAAATCCATCGTATGGAAGAATTTAGCATGTGAACTGTATATGCATACTGTTAAGCACGATTCCCTGATTGTGGTACCTCCAAAATGGAGATGTAGAATTGTAGCAAGGGTGGGTAATGGAGTATGTGTATAGATTTGTTCACCCATATTATGTCCTCCATGAGAATGTGGGCAAATTGATGCGTAGGAAATTCAGCAGTGTCGCCACATATGAAAACTGATCTTCAACTCATATTTTTTTAAAACTGAAAAAGTGAGTCTTGACTCAGAGAAACACTGGGCCTAATATCTTTAGGCCATTATTTTATTTTATTTTATTTTTCATTTCATTAGGGTGTTCTAATAACCTGGACAAAACGTTTCAAAGCAAGTGGTGTCGAGGGAGCAGATGTAGTGAAGTTGCTAAACAAAGCCATCAAGAAGCGTGGGGTAAGATTATCTTTTTAAATACATGTATAGCTAGCATTGATACATGAACTTGGCTGATAATGGAACATCTTTTGTTACTTGCAGATGTCAGGAATTGTGTCAATCTTTTTCAGTGTCATTGTAGAATGATTAGATGGTCTCTAATTTCACATTGCTTTTAACTCCTAGTAAAAGTATTGAGCCAAGAAGATGTTTGGACTAAGAAACCAATTTCTTGGGGAGGGGGCTATATAGCATTTCTTGTTCTAGATAATATTATATACCAAACAGACTTCCATAGACTTAACAGCCTTAGATTCAAACAACCCTCTCTTAATATCACAGTGAAGTTTTATGCATGTTAACTTGGAAGTTTGTCCAGCTGAGTCCCCCATTGAATGGGACTTGCAGCCAAGTCAATGGACCTAGAAGAGCAACCTAAGATAGTTTCAAAGTAGTGGAAAGTTCTGTGTATGTAGCTGCATTTGACATGGATAGGATGGGTCTTTCGGTGGTCCAGATGTCAATGAGGTGTTGTTTTTTTGGCTGATGTAGTTTTTGAGAAGAAAAGGATCTTGAGACTCAAGGGTAAAGTCCCTGGGTCAGTAGTAAAAAGGGGACAAAATATGAAACCACGAACAGCTAGCAGACCTAAACAAAGTGCCCAGTAAATAATATTTACTGAGATTCTGTGTCACATTAGCAAGTAGAATGTGCCTATCAAAAAGTGTTGGTAAAATTGCATATTAGAAATATTCCCTTTCATTTTGAAGGACTACGATGCAGACATCATGGCAGTTGTCAATGACACCGTAGGGACCATGATGACCTGCGGATTTGATGACCAGCGTTGTGAAGTTGGCTTGATCATTGGTATTGACATTTGAATCCCTTGCCAAGCGTAATGCATGTTGACATTTTTGGTTTGCTCTTTTTATATGTATATATAAAAAGCCTGTTGACTAATCCCATTGCCTTCTTTTAAGGTACCGGCACTAACGCCTGCTACATGGAAGAAATGAGACATATTGATCTGGTGGAAGGCGACGAAGGGCGGATGTGCATCAATACCGAATGGGGAGCGTTTGGAGACGATGGCTTGTTAGAAGACATCCGGACTGAATTTGACAGGGAGATCGATCGGGGTTCCGTTAACCCTGGGAAGCAATTGTAATTGAGCTTCCTTTCTTCTACTGTTCTTGTTTTAGACTTTCATGCCTGTCCCAAAGGTTTGTGGTGGGGAGTTACACCTTAAGGCTTGGATCCAAAGATCCACGAGCAGAGCCTCCTTCCATTCTTGCCTCTTTCCCTTTTGCTCACCACTCCCCAAGAAGACCTGTGCATGGTTTCAGGACTTTCTAGAATGACCTGGGAAACTTGCATGGCAGAGGGGTTCTTGCAGCTGGGGGAAAATTTGTCAGAAATTGGGGACCCCCCCCCTTGAGTGACTGGAAGTTCCCTTCATTTTTGCCACCCATCATTCTTTCCTAATTTTATTCTGTTGGCAAGTGTGTGTGTGTGTTAAGGTGGGTGATCTTGGCTGAGTTCAGCTGAGAGGGAGAGTGATTTGCTCAGGATTTCCACACTGTAAGCATGATGGCTAAAGAAGGATTTGAACCCTAAGGATGCCTCCCATCGGCACCTACTGGGAATTGACCTTGGGTAACTATATGCAGGAGCGGGCCACATGCCTGTAAACCACTCGTGAGTGTGTCTGATTTGTGTTTCTGCCATAATATCTTTCCAGGTTTGAGAAGATGGTCAGTGGCATGTACATGGGCGAGCTTGTCAGGCTGATCCTTGTCAAAATGGCCAAAGAAGGTCTTCTTTTCGAGGGGAGAATCACTCCTGAACTTTTAACCAAAGGGAAGCTAGAAACAAAGCACGTTTCTGCCATGGAGAAGTAAGTAACTTCTGAAGCTTTCCTCCTACGCTTGCAACCTAGAATACTTGTGTAATGAATAGGGGAGTGGAATATATGCAGTTGGATTCTAAGAGCAATTCCTGGACAGGCTTTTAAGAATAGAGTTTTGTCATTAGCTTAATAGGCAGCACTTTCCAGCTTTCAAATGACATCACATCAGTGTATGTATGTCTTCTGAAGCTGCAGCCTTTTGACCTGACATTTTCTGGCTTTGCACCATGTGACCTATTTTAAAACCATGGCTTCCAGAATTTTATTCTTAACTGGTCCCGCTGATTACAAGTGGTGCACAATACAGAGAACCCACCACCCAAATCCAGCACAGTGGAACTGAAAACCTCTTTGTGCTCTGTAGGCTCTTAATATTGTAGATTCTAATCTCAGCCTCCCTTCCCCTTCCTTTCCTCGCAAGATTTCCACGGGACTCTGCTGCACCCATTCTCAGACTCTCACAACACTCTCCCCCGGTGAGCAACCTGCCCATCCTTCAAGATTGTGTTACCTTATCGTAACTTTTTTGCGGTTTCTGTTTTTAGGAGCAAGGAAGGTTTGCAAAAGGCCAAGGAGATACTTACCCGTCTTGGGGTTGAGCCCTCCCACGAAGACTGCGTCGCCGTCCACCACGTGTGCACAATCGTCTCCTTCCGCTCTGCCAACCTGGTGGCTGCCACTCTGGGTGCCATCCTTAACCAGCTGCGGGACAACAAGGGAGTGGGCCGCCTGCGCACCACCGTGGGGGTTGATGGCTCCCTTTACAAGATGCATCCGCAGTAAGAGCCTGCCAGGTTTCCATAATTACATCTTGGCACCTGTTAGGGACTGTCTCTTGCAAAAGGTCAGAGATGTAGCACATCCAGCTGACATTTGGCTGTGTGCTCTGGACTTGGGCTAAGTAAACAGAGCTCTCAAAGGAGGTGAAAGTGGGCTGTAAATATCACAGTCCAAAGGCAGCTCAGTAAGTTAGGCAGGAGGCAGTGCTTGCAATGCACGTGGAATAATAGAAGTTGGAAGGGACCAAAGGGATCATGTAGTCCAACCCCCTTTAATGCAGGAATCTTTCACCTAACGTGGGCTTGAACCCATGGCCCTGAGATTGATAGTCTCAGGCTCTACCAGCCGAGCTATCCCTCAGGGCTAATACCAGGTAGCTGCTTGCAGCAGACAATCTTTGCAACTAGTTTTATGCACATTGCAGGGATGTGCCCATAACATGCAGTAGCCTGTAGTTTATTCTCCCCCCCCCCCATGTTAACTTGTACCATACAGATGCGAGGGGGTACTTTGCAGTTACACACTCCAAACCACCCTGTGATCCTTGGATGAAGGGTGGTATAGAAATTTAATAAAATAAACAAGTGATGCCACACCATTGGAAAAGCAGCTGTGGAGGCTCGGTTTTTGTTTGTTTGTTTGTTTTGGTGTTGCCTGGATATTACTCTTAAGGTATCTTCCACATACAGGCTCTCTATATGTTTCAAAGCACATTCGGAGCCTAGGAGTTTGTTTTCAGTAGCAGAACTGAGCTGAGCTCACCATCTCTTTTTCACAAAAGTCGCTCATAGCTAGCTTTTCTTCAGCAGGCTGATTTAAGCAATTTTTCGTTGCCTAGCTCAGTTGGTAGGGTATGAGGCTCTTAATCTCAAGGGGGGTTGGACTAGATGACCCTTGTGGACCCTTCCAACTCTACAATTCCATGATTCTACGAAATCGCCCAGAGATTTGCCAGTAGCCCCCAATGGCCATTTCTCCTACCCACCTCTGGTGTTGGCAGTGTGTGGATCAGTATCTGTGTGCAAGGCAGGCACACCATTCCCAGTGCCCCGTCCATTAGGCCTGCAGTACTGGAGCAGCGTGGGAGCTACTTCCTGCAATTATTTCTCACTCTGCTCCTGTGACGTCTGCAGAGAGGAACCATGTGCAAGAGCTGGACAATGTGGCTCTTTCCCACGCTGGCTTTGTCACTGGTGGCTTTGTGGTGGCATTGCCAGTTTTAGAAAGAACCATGTTCTTCAGTTTTAGAAAGAACCATGTTCTTCAGTCTTCCCACAGCATTCTCCTGTATGGATATTTCTGGCCAGGTGTGCGACTATGACATGGGAAAATTCCTTACATCTCTCAAATGGCATCGACTCTCAGTTAATGTCTGGATTGCGGTTATATGTGCTGTTTTTTCCATCATTAGGTGCTCTACCTTGTATCTATAAAGGAAACTGCTGTTACACTAGATCAGGATGGGGAACCTGTCGCCTTCCTGATGTTGCTGGACTACAGCTCCCATCATCCTGTCCACTGGCTAGGTCTGATGGGAGTTGTAGTCCAACAAAATTAGGAGGGCCACATGTTTCCTATTTATCCACTGTCTAGACAGCTCCTTGGGCTGACCCAGTGATTCCCCTCCACACACACCTTTAATGGAAAATTCCTATTACTGAACCTACTGTCCTTCTCCCCTTTGCAGGTATTCCCGACGGCTGCAAAAAACCGTGCGCCGCTTAGTGCCCGACTCAGACGTGCGCTTTTTGCTGTCTGAGAGCGGCAGCGGCAAGGGCGCTGCGATGGTCACAGCGGTAGCATACCGGCTATCAGAGCAGCACCGCCTGATAGACGAGACCCTGGCTGAATTCAAACTTACTCATGAGCAGCTGCTGCAGGTGAAGAAGAGGATGCGGATGGAAATAGAAGCAGGCCTCAAGAAGAAATCACACGATCACGCCAAAGTCAAAATGCTGCCCACCTTCGTCCGCAGCACACCTGATGGGACAGGTAGGTCTTTAGTCCTTGGGAAGGGACCTTTGGAAGAGGTTTCCTAGTTTCCTCATTGCAGAGTGAGGCAGCTAATAATCTAAGGCTGGGAGCCCCCAAATAAAGGGGGTGCATTCTTTCCATGCATGCTTTCCCAGCATCAGTTCAGCAAACTGAACACAAAAGGCAGTTTCAGGTTGCTATCACTTTTTATTGGGGAAATGGAAATAAAATAGATTATGTCCTTAGACTGATGTCCCCCTCCCCACTTTGGAAAGCTCCAAACTGCTTTGTAGAACCAGTCAATGTTGAAGAGCAGTTTTGAGAACCTTGTGGAAGCATTTTCTGAGGAGGCAACGGGGTGCAGAGGGTGTAGATGCCTGTTTAGATCTTGGCCTGTATCTAAAAGTTGAACAGATTTTGAATGCATTAGATTTAATAAATATGTGCCATGCCATATTGATCCTTAATATCAGTCCTGCAGATTTATTTAGTACGTTTACAGTGCAGTCTTATGCATGTTTACTTGGAAGTAACGCCTACTGTGCTCAATTGGGCTTACTCCCCAGTAAGTGTATTTAGGATTTTAGCCTTAATATGCCACTTTTCAGCTGATGAGGTATTCATATGCTCTAGTCATCTCGATTCATCAGAAACAGAAAATCACAATTGTGGTCCAACTAAAATTTCCCATGCCTTTCTTCTCTGAGGACGGCAATAAGAACATATCCCTGCTCCATGATGAGCTAAGATTCACAATTCCTAGGGACCACTTTTTTCTTAGTTTGCCGACACCTGCCTGATTTGATTTTTGGTATGTCAAATGAGTCCAGTGAACATTCAAGACCCGTCTTTGCTCAGATTGTAGATGTTTCTTAGGATGTGGAGAATTCCAGTTAGAAACCCATCACATCACATACAGTGGTACCTCGGGTTAAGTACATAATTCGTTCTGGAGGTCCGTTCTTAACCTGAAACTGTTCTTAACCTGAAGCACCACTTTAGCTAATGGGGCCTCCTGCTGCTGCTGCGCCGCCAGAGCACAATTTCTGTTCTCATCCTGAAGCAAAGTTCTTAACCCGAGGTACTATTTCTGGATTAGCGGAGTCTGTAACCTGAAACGTATGTAACCCGAGGTACCAGTGTACAGGTTCTGGTCAGGTTCGGTATTCCAATCAGTTCAGCCTCATTTCACCACATAAAAAAATGCCATTGGCAACGGACAGGAGTCCTTGCTTTGTCACTTACTCGTTAACTGAGTGGTCCTTTAGACTTCCAGTGGGTTTTTGATGTGGCACTCAGTTGGTTCTTGCATTTTCTTTTATCTCTTCCTGATGGCTCTGTAGAACAAAAGCTTGTGTTTCTTTGAAAGAGCACACCTTTTAAATGAAGATGGAGAAACATCGCCATCTGCTGGCTAATGTTCCATGTATGTAACATCCATTCCCAGTGAGCCAACTTCTATTGCTTTTTTGAAGAGAATAATTGCATTGTAGTGTGTCCCCACCCTCCACCCTGTAGAGAAATCCTGCTTGTTCAACCAAGGGTTTCCTCCAACACTGCCACCGTGTAAATAAGTTTCCTATGTATAGGGCTTTCCTTTCCCACACTGCCAGCATGTAATGTTTTGTTATTCCAAGTTGTCAGTGTGAGAGAGAGACTAGTGAAAAATCCAAGCCTGCCCACTAGTACTGCCACCACCCCTGTTGGTCCGCCCCCCCCCCCAATCCTTAGCCAAGGGAAATTCAATTTTTTTCTGGGTCTCCTTGGGATTCACATAGACAAGAGCCAAACAGTTTCTTTACTGTCTTTTGAGCCTCCAACCTACAAATCACTCAGCCAGGTACAAGATGCCGAGGCGAACTTACTCTAAGAAGCCACCCAAGGTTAAATGCACAAATGTTTGTAAAAATAAACATGAGAACCCAATACCATGGAAGGTGGTTAATAAAAGGCTTAGAATGTAAAGATACCACTGGGAATTCAAGTACAAATAAAAAATAACAAAGCTAGCTTGTCTCATCCTCTATTAGGGTCACAGACCCCACCAACAAGCTGAACCCAGGCATGTGGTTGTTGTGATTCACAATCAACATCCGAATGGGGGCCATTAGACCCAGGCCAAAGACCAGTTTTTATCAGAAAGGCAGAAGGGCAGCTTTTTCCATTAACCAATCAGGGCCTAGGAGCATCTTTGCCCAGCACCAGGGGGTGTATATGCTGAAAGACCATGTAGCGACTCAAGAGGATTTTTGCACAGTCATTGCAACCTTGATGCGATCTTGCATCAGGCAAGATGAACTAATTAAACAGGACTTCTCCCCTCAGTAAGACGGTTCTCAGAATCCTGAGCAGCAAGCCATTTAAAAATGAGCCAAAAAGGGGGAATACTCCTCTTTCAGTCCTCCTTTCTGCTCTCCTTCAGTTAACCACATATGCTATAAATCATGTATTTTGAAGAAGTATGTTCTCACCTGGCTGCTTCTATTTTGTAGTAAAAACATTCATGTTTGTGTGTCCAGATTAGGGTCCCGTCCTGTTTTTTCTTGCTTGATTCTGAAAGTGCCCCTTTGGGGGTAAGTAGAATATGGGGCAGTTTTCAGCAGTAAACCAGCATTGGGCATTAAATTGCATTAGGCCGCTTTTTCACCAAAATAAAAGTAGCCAGGTTAAGCGTTTTTGTTTAAATGCATGAATAACTTGAGCTCAGTGTAAGGATGCGTTCTTGTTACCACCTCAGAGTGCCCTGAAGCCCCACCCACCAGTTTCACATTGCCTTCAGCATGGCTTCATTAGTGTCAGATGGGTTTCTGTTTGTGTACACACCAGAGGGTACTGCCGAGGCAGGGATGTGTTTACACTATGCAAAGGCGCACGTTAGTGTGTTGGCATGTCACACGAACGCTCCGCCCGCGCTCCTCCTGGGGCTGGAAAGGTTTAACTTCCTGTTTGCTAGTAAAACTGAATTACTGTGTTGCAAAATGATGCAAACCTTGAATTACTGTGTTGCAAAATGATGCATGTACAGTGGTACCTCGGGTTAAGTACAGTGGTACATTGGGTTACATACACTTCAGGTTACATACGCTTCAAGTTACAGACTCCGCTAACCCAAAAACAGTGCTTCAGGTTAAGAACTTTGCTTCAGGATGAGAACAGAAATTGTGCTCCGGCGGCGCGGCAGCAGCAGGAGGCCCCATTAGCTAAAGTGGTGCTAAGAACAGTTTCAGGTTAAGAACGGACCTCCGGAACGAATTAAGTACTTAACCCGAGGTACCACTGTATAAAAAGTGTGTCACCAACATAAAAAGTTGGGAAAGCTCTCGCTTGGGGACTCCTATTGATGTGAAGCTGGGGTGAGGAACAATGTACCACATGGATATGTATATACGCACACGTTTGCACAGGATGCAGATGCATTTTGGATAAAGTTGTGTAAACTCTTGATTAAAAACCCAGCACTGGAAACACAATGAGTTCACAGTAGATGAGAGAGCCTTTTCCTCCTGTAACATAAAAGTGCTGGGGACTAAAAGTTTGCAAAATTTAGATGCGTTGTTCCTTACTTCCTACTTGGTCAAAATTATTTCATTGCAGAGAACGGAGACTTCCTGGCCCTGGATCTTGGAGGAACAAACTTCCGAGTTTTGCTTGTGAAGATCCGAAGCGGTAAAAGGCGAATGGTGGAGATGCACAATAAAATCTATGCCATTCCTATAGAGGTCATGCAAGGTACTGGAGAGGAGGTGAGCATGTAGTGCAGAGGATGTTATGTTGTTGATCTCTTTCAGAGACTGCACAGTGCTTGTGATACACACTACTTTATTTTGCTTTTTCCAGCTGTTTGATCACATTGTTTCCTGCATATCGGATTTCCTGGACTACATGGGAATAAAAGGTGCACGACTCCCCCTGGGCTTTACGTTTTCTTTCCCTTGCAAACAGACAAGCTTAGATGCTGTAAGTTCTTGTTCTTAGTTCTCTAATGAAACTTTTCCATATGTGTTTTTTAAGAGTGGATTTTCAGCTGCAGTTTAGCGGTTGAGAAGAGGTATGCAGGCAGACAAGCATCAGTGTGAGCTTTGCACATGCACAGAATATTGACACAGTCAATATTCCTTATACCGAGTGAAGACCATTGGTCCATCTGGCTCAGGATAATCTACACAGAATGGGAGCCAGCTCTCCAGTCTTTCCAAGGCCTTAATGGAGATGAGGGTGGATTGAACCTGGGAGTTCTTGCCTGCAAGGCATGGGCTGTTATCACTGAGTTAAGTCCCACTGTACCTGCAGATTCTAGACTGCATATATATTCATATGAGGAGCTCTTGATGCCATCATGGGTTCATTAGCTGGTTGGGTCTGCTACTGCACCTGGATGCCCAGGTGGTGATTATTTCTGGTTTGTTCTGATATTGCAATGAACTGAATTTCTTGTTCTTTTTCTTAGGGCATCCTTCTGAACTGGACCAAGGGCTTTAAGGCTACTGACTGCGAAGGGGAGGATGTTGTTAATTTGCTACGGGAAGGAATAAAAAGAAGAGAAGTGAGTCGTCCCCGTCCCCCCCCTGTGATTTCTTAAAATTAGCAGATGGTGTTGATCTTCTTAAAGATCATGTATTGTTTGTTTTATGAGTCACTTTTGTGTGTTCTTATTCTTCCTCTGCATTGCTTAAGATCCCCTGTTCTGGGGGTTCTCCTAACGTTCCTGAGCAGATTTGTGGAGGGTGTGGTGTTGGGGAAGGAAAGGGTGGTTTTCACGTTCTGCTAGCAGAACTCATTGCTCTGGCTTCTGCCAGTGCAACAACTTAGTTGAATCCAGCCCTCCAGACATCGGAATGAAAATTAAATTGCTATTATTTAAAACAGACCTGTGTTTTCCTGATTATTACAATATTTGCAAATGACAGGCTTGTTTCCCTGAACTTGTAACCATTGGTGAATACTACTCCGCCGTGTTTCAAGAGAAGCAATTGTAGTATATAATTTTGTTACTTCTTCCAAGGAATTTGACTTGGATGTTGTGGCCGTGGTGAATGATACAGTCGGGACTATGATGACTTGTGCCTATGAAGATCCCAATTGTGAAATTGGACTCATTGTGGGTAAGAATGGGACTTGCTATTTAGTTTGGCTCATTTGGTGCCTCATTATACTGAGACCCATTGCAGTAGGTCCTATAACTACCGGATGATTTTGTGTGTCATTTTTTTGGTCTATTCTGGTATTGAATCTGATTCTTTCACTCTTCCAGGAACTGGCAGCAATGCATGTTACATGGAGGAAACGAGAAACATAGAGATGGTAGAAGGAGAGCAAGGAAGAATGTGTGTGAACATGGAATGGGGCGCGTTTGGAGACAACGGATGCCTAGATGACATCAGGACAATCTATGACAAAGCTGTTGATGACTACTCATTAAACAGCGGCAAGCAAAGGTATTTCAGGGTGAAATGTTGTTGGAAATGGGTGAAGGCTTGTGCTGCGGTGACTCAGCAGAGATGGTTTTCGTCACATGCACTACTGTGATCACCTGATTGGACTTCAAGACAAACGCACAGCCTTGGGCATGCTTTCTTCTGGGAGCCTGGGTGCACAGAGGCAGCAAGGCTGGCGGGTGTCTGAAAACTCCCAACATAAACAAGAGAGGAAATTGCGTGTTTCTGCTGTGTCCAGAACAGAAATCAATTCAGCAAACATAGCTGCGTATTAGTGCCTGCTGTTGCTTTCAGCCTGCAAACAAAATGTATTTGTATCTCCGCCCCCCCACATATGCATTGTGTTCCCTTTGCATTGAAATGAATGGGGTGGAATAACGTAATTAGGCTTTTACTGATTAAGGATTAATCACCAGCAAAACTTTTCTCAGTTGACCTTAACACACACACACCCTTCTTTCTGAAACCCTCATCTGTCTATGATTTGCAGGTATGAGAAGATGATCAGTGGAATGTACTTGGGGGAAATCGTGCGGAACATTTTGATTGACTTCACGAAAAGAGGATTCCTCTTCAGAGGTCAAATTTCAGAGACACTGAAAACGAGGGGCATTTTTGAAACAAAGTTCCTTTCACAGATAGAGAGGTAAGTGAGCTTAGATGTATATGTCATTGTCAAGCTATTACTAACAATTACTTTTTCTCGGAAATCTTAGCTAATGATATCAGCATTACAATAATGCTCTACAATCTACTGTGAGTTTTTACACAATCCATATTTGTGGTTCTCTTTCATGGTTCTGCATTTTTTGAGTGGCAAACTTGGGCAAATCTTTTTTTTTATTGATTTTCATTTGTTTTCCCCAAATTGGTCACTAATTAAAACAAATTAAATTAAATTAAAACAAATCAACATTTTCCTAAATCTGAACAAATTTAACATTTTTCCAAATCTGACTTCCTGCACGCCCTCCTGGATGTGTGGATGGTTCTCCTTGGTGCTGCATCATATTCCCCAGTTAACTTCAAACATTTCGAACAACCTTATATTACAATATACTTGCCACTTGAGTAGCAAATGTTAGGGCCTGCCTCCTAACGTTGCTGTAATACTGCAACGGTGCTGTAATACCGCAGTCTGACACCAGCTGCCGCTGTAGTGCTTTTTTTTGCATCAGTATAGATGGAGACAGAAACGGCCCTAGAGCGGCAGACCACTGCGAAGAGCAGAGACAGATCAACTGGGCAAAGAATGGCTTCCAGAACAGCTGGAAGTGCAGCAGGGCAATGCTCCCCTGTTCTCTGGGACCAAAACCTATTACAGACCCTGAGAAAGTGAGGATAGTTTGAATGCAGTGAAAAGGGGCTTCTCAGAGTGTGATGGGAGGCATTTTTAGCCATGTAGATTTCAGTACCAGTGTTGTATATAGGTGTCTGGAGATGACATGGGTGGTCTTAAATAGGGAAAGGGCAGGAGTGCACACAGAAGTTTCCCTGGCTCCATTTGAGACTTTCCTGCGTTCAGCATCAAAGAGGGTTTTTCTGTGGGGAGGACCTGTGCACTTAATGTGGACTGGTTTGAGGTTGAGCTGGCATTCCAGCGGGGAGGGGGATGTTGGGTACCTGCTCCTCCATTTATAGCCAATGTATAGCCTCTATTTATAGCCTGAATGCCAGAATAGGCCTTCAATTGTACACTCAGTGATGCATGTGGTACCTAGGCCAACGGGAGTCTTTGACTGCATACACCTGTGGCCCTCCAGGTGTTGTTGGCCACATTCCATTGGCCATGTTTGCTGGGCTGATGGGAGTTGGAGTCCAACAGCATCTGGTGCCCTTATCCCTGGTGTCCACCGAAGCAGAGAATTTTTGAAACGAGTTCAAGCCTCTGTTTTCTCTCTCTTCCCCCTTCTCCCCTTGTGTCTTCTCAACAGTGACAGGTTAGCGCTGCTTCAGGTCCGTACAATCCTCCAGCAGCTTGGTCTGAACAGCACCTGTGATGACAGTATCATCGTCAAGACGGTGTGTGGCGCAGTATCAAGGAGGGCGGCTCAGCTGTGTGGAGCTGGGATGGCTGCCGTTGTAGACAAAATAAGGGAGAACAGAGGCTTGGACCACCTGGATGTAACGGTGGGCGTTGATGGTACACTGTATAAGCTTCACCCACAGTAAGTACTGGGAAATTATGTGCTTTTGCTGTCTGTGCTCCGGGAAGTGTCTTAAAGCTTTGTGAAAAGCAGTGCTTGGCTTGTGAGAGATTGGGGATGCTCTGACGAAATAGCCAAGGGAGCCTTTTCTCCTAGCCTGCATTTTTTGTGGTTTACTGTGTGCTTGCTTAATGAGTAGTCACTGTGTACTCCACCACTCTTTTGGGCTTGAGCTTATGTTTCACTGCAGACTCCATAGGCATAGGTTAAGGATAAGGGGTTTCTAATTCTCATTTCCATAAAAATGAATGGACTCGGATGCATATTTCAGGTGCATGCCTTATAGAAATCACTGTGGATGGGTGTGTGAAAACAGTGAGAAGGAATTCCCTTTATACCACAGCTGCTCCTTGCTTCCTTCTGTGATCTCCTGCCAGTTTCTTCTGTAAAGTCTGCATGTTGAGTGTCTGGCTCCATTCACTGACATAAGGAAGGCTTCCGGTTTAACATGGAGGAGCATAAGAAGAGCCTGCTGGATCAGGCCAGTGGCCTATTTGGTCCAGCATCCTGTTCTCACAGTGTCCAACCAGATGCCTGTGGGAAGCCTGAAGGCAGGACGTGAGCACACAAGCTCTCTCCTTTCCTGCAATTTCATAGAATCGTAGAGTTGGAAGGGACCCTGAGGATCATCTAGTCCAACCCCCTGTAATGCAGGAAGATGCACAGGGATCGAACCTGCAACCTTGGCGTTATCAGCACCACTTTCTAACCAACTGAGCTATCCATTTTCCAGCAACTGGTATTGAGAAGCGTAGCTGCTGAAAAGAGAATGAAACCTGCTTGGTAATCTTGAGACCTTGTCGTGATTATGGACTGGCAGAGAGAAGCCCTCCCTCACGTTTCCCTCTTTTTGTTTGTTTGTTTCACAGTTTTTCAAGGGTCATGCACCAAACGGTAAAGGACCTGGCCCCCAAGTGCGATGTGACATTCCTTCTGTCCGAAGATGGCAGTGGCAAAGGGGCTGCCCTCATCACTGCCGTGGGATGTAGACTGCGTGAGGCTGAGCATAACTGAACTCTGCACCACTGGCTCATTCTGCCTTCCGAGCACTTCCTTGCGAAAAGCAGCGGTTCTGTAGTCTGAACTGGCAAGAGGGGAAGCCCAGAGTCCCACTGCTGCTTTATGGAAGCGTTGGAGTTAAAAAAATAAAAATAGGATACTGAATAGCGTGTGCTGCTGTTGCTGATAATATTTCCCTCCTCTGAACCCCTTGTCTGCATGTGTCTTTTTCTGCCCTATTTGGCACATTCCCCGTGTGTAAATCATTCAAAGGAAAAAAGGAGAATCTATAATTTAAACAAATGTCAAAAATAGGTTTATTATTCGAGGTCTAAAATTACAGCCAAATGATGTCCAAGGATAAGAGCAGGTGGTTCTGTGTGTCAAGTGTATTATTTCCAGCTGCTACTACATCCATGTTAAATACATATACCACCAACAGTGCTGAGTAGGAGACAAATGCTTATGCTAAGAGGGCTTAGCAGTTCTTTTCCAAATTTCTAACCAAATGTTTGATTCCCCGCACCCTTTTCCTTTCAGACAACTTGGAAGTTTTCACATCTGCTGAGCTGCACTCCGTGCTCCTGTAGGAAGGTCTCCTTTAGCGGCCAGAATTGTCTTCTGCTCACTGTATTCGGTCACTAGGAAAGAGATAAGGGGCTCTCCTGACATGTCTTAATATCACTGGCTTTTCCCGCTGCTTTGGTGAATGATGTCGTGTTTCCAAGTAAGATTTGTGCTGTTCCAAAAGGCAAGTCTGTGGTAGTAAAAACAAAACAAAACCAAGAGAAGGATTGACCCCAGAGATAATCCAAACCTCTGACCGTAGAGATATCCATAGCTTTCCATGTACCCTTCCCTTGGTTTGGCTAGATTCTGGTGAGTTGAGGATGTTAATTTTTAAAAGGGGCATCCTGGTCTCCCTTCCTGCTCTGAGAGCCACTTCCAGTGCAATGAGCCGAGTTCACGGACTGCCTTTGTGTAGCAATTGTACGAGTGCTTGCAATGTGGGAGTGACATGGCTGCAGGTTATCTAGGGGAGTTCTGGCAAGTCCACGGCATGTATTTGCTTCTGGAAACGTTGTGCCACACTGCAAGGCCAACACCATTCCCAACATCTTTGTCCACCTGCCAAAGCTGGAGTTATCCTGGCTTTCTGGCCTGCCCAGGCCTTTGGCTGTGAGCCTTTGGCTGCTGTGACTGGGAAGCTGCCATTTTAATTTTCCCACAATGCTCTTGTGCACCCAATGTAACATTGCCCCGGAAAGTGGCGGACAAATTAAAATAGCAGGCAGCTTCCCAGACACAGCTGCTGCCTCCTGGTATGTCCATATGTATGGGAGCGAATGGATGACCAGACCTGAGTGAGCAAAGTGGTGTTTGGGTGCTTTGCTAGGGAGCCCTGTAATCTGCGTTAACGGCTAGTTTCCACATGGCAGTGCTCACACGAGTGCTTTAAAAATTTACACTCTGAGTCTAGCTAAATAATAGGGGAAGGGGTGGAATGAAATGCATCCTAATCGCCATTAACAGTGGGTCCTATGGAGGCCAAAACCACACTGATTTTTAATGGAGCTGAATAATGCCCCTGATGTTTGGAAGTATATACCTTTCCATGTGGATTTAAAAGTGACATTAACTACAGAACCAGGCTTTTAAACAGTGTTGTTTTTCTAGAAAAAGGTGCTGGACTCACCATGAACACCTCCCTTGTTCTCTTGGAATGGCAATGGCGCCCACCTGAGAGATGCTGGAGCTAAGTTCCTGCTGGAAAAAACCCCTGCTTTTAGATACATAGATAGCAGCAGCATCTAACGATTAGATGAGTAAAGTTTCAAGGAACTGTCCTTGTGTCAATCCACATAGGGTGTGGAGCAAGGAACTCCAGGGTGCTTGGGAAAGCATTGTGGGCAAGTAACACCAAACTAGCCTGCTCCAAAGGTGCCTAAAGCAAGGAAATTTCCAGCATTGGGACTAGATTCAGCTAGACTTGCAAGTCAAGCCAGCCTGCCACTCAGCAAATAGAAAGGGCTGGCAAACAGTGATGTGGGATGCATCCTGCCCCCCCACTCCCCGGTTATTTACCTTTCCATGGATCCCCCTGGTTTGTTAAGATTCTTAGTAACAATGCATTTGCCTATTGCAAATCAGCCAAGCTTAGCAGATTCAAATCTTTTAGCTTTTTATTATTATTATTAAAATAAATGCAAGTAAAATAAGCATGCCAGATTATAGCCTTGCATGAAACTTTCTGGTGCAAATTAATTTATGCAAACTTGCCTAATTTGCACAGAAAAAAAATTGCCATCGCACGCAGACAACCCACATCACCTTTCCCTTCCTATTTGGAATTGCACAAATACAAAATTAGCTAGCTTGTCTTTTAAGTTTGGTTAGCCTGCAGTTAGTTTTTTGAACAGCTGCCGGAGAAGCGACCCACTACCATTCTAGATCTTTCTGTGTTCTCTGAAATATGAATTGTTGTTTGTTCAACTAAATACCACCATTGGCCAGAAGAAAAGAGATTTGCAGACTTACCGTATTTTTTGCTTTATAAGACTCACTTTTTCCCTCCTAAAAAGTAAGTGGAAATGTGTGTGCGTCTTATGGAGTGAATGCAGGCTGTGCAGCTATACCAGAAGCCAGAACAGCAGGAGGGATTGCTGCTTTCACTGTGCAGTGATCCCTCTTGCTGTTCTGGCTTCTGAGATTCAGAATTTTTTTTTCTTGTTTTCCTCCTCCAAAAACTAGGTGCGTCTTGTGGTCTGGTGCGTCTTATAGAGTGAAAAATACGGTATTTTTCTTCTCTGCTCCTCAAGATTTGGATTCCCCATGCTAATAAGCATTTCAATATGCATTTTGGTGCACTGTGATCGAATGTTGTGTGGTAACACAAGTCACAAGCAGTAAGCTCAGCTTTAAGTGTGTGCGTGTGCGTGCGTGTGTGTCTTCCTGAAGATCTGCATGATTCCCTGGATTTGCAATGCTAGAAAGTCTTTTTACATTGCACCACTAGTAGCAGCAGTACTTACTAGTGCAAAGTGAATATTTGTGACAATATTAAACTTTTTTTGACGTGTGTTGGTGTTTGGTGATTCTTTCTGGCAAAGGAATGATTGGTGCTTTGGAGAAGGGTGGGGGAAGATCCCTGTGTGTTTTAAAAGCAATGGAAACAAACTGGGAATATTTAAAATAAAAACTTGATTCAATTCTAGATTCCAGATATTTCCTGAGAAATGTTTGCCTCTAGCAAATGTTTCTTTACACAACAGTGTTAAAATGTCCCACCAGATTTCAGCCTTGGGTTGAACACACTTGCACACCTTTTTGACCCAAGAACTGCTACGTGTTGTGTCCTTGAGTTGAATCTGTGCCGTCTGATGGTTAATATTTTATGGGAAAGCGCGTCTTGGTTTTGGAACGGACTTCCGGAACGGATTACATTTGTGAACCCAAGTACCACTGTATTTGAATTTTTAATGCCAAGATGATGGACTGGAAAAAAAAAAAGATTTGGTTTGGGGTTCCATACAAAATACACAAAGATGAATTTGCACTTGTGAATTATGGGCCATAGCACAGTAATTAATAGCCACCATAAACATAATTCTTCAGTATGGTGAACAAATCACAATTGCTCGTAATTCTTATCAGAAATGTATTAACGATCAAACTATTTCGAATTATCTTAACTTCCACCTTGATTCAGATAACGAATGCTGTTGTCAGTGTTTTACTCAAATGGCTGAATATGGTAACAGTCTTTTACTTTTTAAAGTATTTAAAAATAATATGACAATGCTTTACATTTTCTGGGGAAAGGTGTCATTTATGTATATGCCACAAGGAATGTAAGTCAATCAGTTAAATGTGCATAACAACTGGCCGTTGTTCACCAGACCTGATGGAGACGGTGCACATAACTCTCCAATGAGGAGGGAATTGTGCAACAGGCCTTGGAGAATTGTGCATATTTTGGCTGAATTTTGTACATTCTCCAGGCAAGTTGCACATTCTCCAGTCAGCATGTACAGTTGGGGGGGTGCCCTTTTTCTATTTGTTCTGAAGTATGCAATCTGCTCTGTGTGCTCCACAGTCTATCTTGGACCCCCAAAACTGGTCTGTTGCCATCAGGTGCCATGATGGATGCTGTCCCATAGCATTGAAATAAGATTCAACAGCTAGTTCAGTTGGCTTCTGTACATGGAATAGGGAGGTGAGCCGCCTTGTCCTTTGCCTCAGGCAGTAAAATGTCTTGGGTCGGCCCTGTGGCTTTCCATAATAGTATGAGCATATGGCATTGAGATTATTTTCAGACACTAAGACATTCAAGCAATAACACTGATGGAGGAATTGATTGGCTGTGTTGCTGGTATGAAGCACTGCAAAGAATACTCCCAAATCTGTCACAAACCTCTGTGGTAATATTTTTAATCTGCAATGAAGAAACACAACAAGAAGCCATTAATCAAGCTATTGGCAAAATAGTCAAACGACCAAATACATGGTACTTAATGGTACATTGTCCATATTGGTTGTCTGTGTTCCTGTGCTTGTCAGGTTGTTAGATGCTTGATCTCTCCAGGTCTTCTTTAAAGGCAATCGGGGAGTAAGATTAAGTCTGTCTCTTTCCGTTGCTTTGATGCAAGGGCAGCACTGGAAAGCTATCTTGAAACCAGAGCGGAACCTGTAAATGGGTGCAAACACAAGCTAAGTGTTACATGGTATAAATGAGGGATGGAGAATCTCAGACTTGAGAGGGATTCCTCAAGTGTTTTGTCTGGGTGGACTGTGTCTTTGTAGGGTGACACCTCTTGCCTGACAGGGTGGAGAGATAAATCTGTATAGAAAAACATGACGTGTGTGGTCGATACCAAAGCATAAGTCACATTGGCTGTTCTGTCTACTTTTGCCTCTGACCCAGCAACCACTAGCATGTGACCCCCCCAGAATGTAGTCAGAAAAAGCTCCCCATCCCTTGTACAGACTGAGAAGGTAGAAATTCTGCAAAACCCATTATCCATGAGGATCTTGCCATCATGTATGCAAGAGTGCAGCCTCTCCCCCAAACTGGTAAGAATCAGTTTAGGAGGAACCTAATGGCCAATTGCTTGACAAAGGCACAAGGAAGTCTCCTCATGTACAGCAAAAAACGTGGGTTGAGTAAGTGTTTTCAAGGACTATGGTTGGGTGAGGTGCTGAGGTGGCAGAAGGTGGTTGGCTAGAGAATGAATGGTCAAGATGACGTATATTTCCTTATATAGGGTGTGTGCTCTCACA